GCGCATGAGTTTGCGATTCGCGTTCTTTGACCTGCCGTCAGCGCGACGCGGCTCCACTCGCGGACTCCGATTCGCGCCGGTTGCCCCGATGACGTGAAGCATCTTTGATAGAAATATATCTTTTTTTTTTTTTATATATCTAGATATGTGTCGGCGCGCCTAATGCCTGCGCCTAGACATGCCTCGCAGCGAATACCTGCACCTGCATCCGACTACTTTGTTCGGAATGCCTGTACCTGCTACAGGTATCTATACCTACTTAAGGTACGGCTGAAAATACTCGTCGAGATCGATGGGAGGAAAAAAAACAAACAAATCGAAATCGTTAATTTACTGCGAAAGTATCGTTCTCTTCAGAATGCAAAGCGACGTTAAAGTTTCGTGTGAGATCCACGGCAAACTTTGAACAGGAAGTGTCTCGAACACTCTCCGAAGTACAATCTGAGTTCGGGTTCTCGTAGCCGCAATCCGGAAAAACACGGCGTCGCGGAAATACAGTTAAAGTTTGGAGTTTACATAATGCAACAACCGGCAGTTACGTTCACTACATTGCATTTCTGGCCTATGTTGTCTGCAATTGTTTGATTTCTCGCATCCCGGTTTTAAAATGCTTGAAAAAACACGCCGTATTTTGGTAAAAAGCAACTCTTCATCTGCAAGCAAATTTTAGCACGCGTATTTTAGAGCGTGAATTTTATTTTTGTAAATTTTACTGACGATATTCTTTTTTTTCAGATTTAATATTATCATCTAAAAATAAAATTGGAAAAAGAATATTTTCGTAAAACCGCAAAAAATGGCAAACAGAAACAGAAAGAGCTAATTGTTAAGCTATCTTTTTGGTTCAATGAGCAAAATGTATAAAACATCAGAAAATTCGTCTTTTTCTTTTATTTCAAAAGACAATTTCAAACTCCCATATTTTCCCAGTTTGAATCCATATCTATTGACAAATCGATTGACAGAGAGTGGAAATAGCATGAAAACTCGAGTGCGGTGTCAACCGCTTCGATGAGCGCAGAAACCTTCGAATATCCGGCGCTAAGACCCTTCATTTTCCGTCTATTCTCTCAATCTTCCACGCTATCGCGGTAGGCTTATTCGATCTGAGACTTTCAAGAACGATGGCGTTCTTAATTCGGCGGAAGGTATTTAAAGTTTAATCCGAAGAGCGCGCCATTAAGACTGACTAAATGTCAAGGCAATGGTAAAGTGCAAAGTTCCAAGTGCAAAGTCTGCTATTCTCAACCCACTAAAGGCTCCCGCCAACTTACGGCTCTATCCTATCTGATATTGCCGACGGACCTCCAAGCCTCGAGCGATGTTACCTTCCAAACAACAGGAAGAGGCTTTTAGATCCTGGGATTCGGTAGTCGTCGGCGTATCGACGTCCGACGATATTTTCCGTCTGTTCACTGGTCTCAATATAAAAGCGCGTTCTTTTCTCGGATACTTTACGCGCGGTTGTTGCAATTCTCAATAAAACTTTACACGCAATACCGCGATGGCAGGTGGAGAAATAACGGCGAAATTTCGCGTAGAACACATTGAAGCAAAAATAAGCAAAATTAATTGCAGATTATAATTTTGTTTTTTTTCCGAGAATTAGAATTTTTCGTAAATTCGTTAATCCGCACGGAAGGATTTTGAGTTGTGATTAAAACAAAAGCTCTTGTAGTGATTTTAAACGTTTTCTTGTCAACACGTGGCCTAGCACTAAGCACCGGATAAATTGTCGGGAGCGAAGGGAGTGATACATCAGCTTTAAACGTCGAGACAGTTTCCAGTTTCCACTTGAGACACACGCGGTTTGTCCACCGGCAAGAGGCGAGCTGTCACATTGTTAGTACATTGGACTAAATCCCGGCTTACTTTCGGCAATTTATACATAACCTGATTATTTGGATTAATTTAAACGCTAATTAAAAAAACTAATATTTATCTATTTAATTCATACAACTGTATCAATGTCTTTATCTGTTCATCATTTTTATATTCAAAATAGTCCTGATTGTTTATTACTAGGATTCCTTTTCTCTTAGCATTCACGAAGGTTCTATTGCGATTCTCCGAACGCATGTTTCCAATGTTGCATTCTTTCCCGAAATCGCACACCCTGTGCAAAGAAAGAAATATCAAAGAAAAAGTCACATTTTACTGACCTGTTCTGCAGACTCGGTGATGAAGGAGTGACAGTACTGTAGGCTGAAGTGGGCCCTGGGCTCTCGCGCCAGAAAGCTAAATTGGACGTGCTGCGGCTCACAAGTCGCATAAGAAATGCGTCTTAACGCGTGCGCCATTTGCACGCACTGCAACAAAAATAAAAATAATTAATATTCGGAATTTCTCATAAAAGCGTTCCAATGTAAACGCAGTCCGTAATGACAGAGTAAATAGTAATTTAAATTAACAGCAATTATATTACAAATGATATATTCCTCTCTCCCTCTAATGATGGAAATAATATTTCGCGAATAATATCTACGTTTAACAATGCTACAATGTTTGCCAATTCGTCATATTGCAATATTCGTTGCTTCAAATTCATAACTCCGAATTGTACATTCAGTACAAAAATGAAAAATGATTTATTGCAATCACTCTGACTGACAATTTCCGAAGTGTTTTCGAGAACAGGCTTCACGTGCATTGAGCGCAAACAAAAATGATTTACGAGCCTTTTATTATTGCTCTCATCCTGTCGAGTGATTTAATCGTTTGAATCAATTCCGCCGCGAAACGCGGACGTTGCGTGTATGTATTGTGTCAAGACCTGTGCAAGAAACTAGCATCCTCATTAAACAGGATATCATCATAAATATCACTTACGTATATCACGGTTCGTTAACAACGGTAGCAAATATCGCGTGAGCTTAAATTGCGGGGTGTAGGACGAGATAATTAAACGGTACGAATATAAGGGCTGCAATATCGGTAGCAAAATTATTTGACACGAGATCATGTTAATAAGCATTTTAGCGTAAGCTGAAACATATAGGAAATTCGTGGTTGTTGTTGTTGTTTATTTATTTCCGATTTTGTTCCTCCAATTAATTTATTAAAAAATATATGCCAATTTAAGTTTTCTAAATTAACATAATTATAGAAAAAAGATCAACAAGTAAAAAACAAAAGAAGATTCCGTTGTCTCGCTAATTAGTGATGCTCAATATTTAGTCTGACAGTGATTGAAAGGCAGAATAATAAGACAGTTAATTCAAGTGTCTTACAGTATTGCGTCTATTAGATGATGATTTGATCGATGCAATGGATGCCAAAGAGTATAAAGAAAATAGTTCCAATTATTGGCTACTCGAAAAACTTGCAATGTCTTCGGTTGAAGTTTCGTTCCGGAACTTTTAATGATTTGCCGACGCAACAGGCTTCATTCGCGAGATAACAGTGTTTACAACTTTGACGCAAATTTGATCGTCTGATTTTCTTTCAATCAACTATTTTAGCATAATTTCGGACAGACTGAATTGCGACAGAAAAGCAATTAATTACATAATTTATTTAATCAGTTTGAGAATTTAAAACTTTATAGCACAAAATATTAATAAAAAAAAAAGACATTGATACAACAATTTTGGCAATGATATGATAGATGTACGTATAGACTTTCTTCGGCGGTGAAATAGCAGTAAAAGATGTAAAGTAACGTGTATCGGAGCCATAACTCGTTGAATTTAAACGCTGTTCTTATTTTGGAACGTAAATTCTTAATGCTGCCTATAAATTTGGTGGCCAGGGCACGAATAAAACGCGTTCAGCGAACGAAATCTTCGTTTCCTCGTTTTCAAGAAAGATTTTCAAGAGATTTCGCCAATATTTCAGCCGGGAGTTTTATATCCTCGCGGTGACACTTTGTTCGTTCTCGATATTTTACTACACTGTCTCATAAAATTACACCGACTGTGTTTACGGTCTTCGCTCATACGTTCTATTAATATTTATCTGCCTATTGTGTCGCAGCGCCATGCTCCTTGTATGCCATAGACGTGATAGTGATTGTGAAGGTTCTTCGGCATGTATGAAAGTCTCCTCTGTGTAAGAAAAGCTATGCATTTCCGTATTGTGCAGCGTCAGTTTCTTTTTTTTCGCAATTGAGATGTTAAATACAACATGAATGTAAAATTCGAGTTTTACATTTTATAATTATTCGATAAATAATATTATAATTTTTTTTTTTCAGTTTGTTTTCTCGCTGAAATTGTTTGCCTTTAAAATTTCCAACCTTCTTCCCAAAGTATTTTCGACTTACGCTGTTATTCCACTCAACTCCTCAATCTCGAAGAGAAACACGGCTTCATCTTCAAGCTCCTTAGACGATACTCACTTAAATTCGTCTCCCGTTGAAATAAGCATGGCAGAGAGCACGCGGACGAGAGAGTAGAATGACGATTGAAAAAATGATCGTTCCGTAGAAGCAAATTTTCTAGGAGGGATACTCCGCGATTCTATCAAGCTTCATGCTGAATTTTTCATGATGCCTGCATCTACTCGAAGTAGCGAAGCTCTACGTGAGAAAAATATAAATGATGTAGCTCAAGATGCTCCTTTTTCTTGGGCCTATTGGACGCCTTATAGTTGCTTGAATATGTCGCTCTTAATATTACTGTTAAACCAATCAGAAGGTAAGAGAATTTTTTTAACAATTTTACTCGCGTGAATTATCGCTTTTTTATTACAAAATATAGCAGCAAATCGTA